CTTATATTGGTCATGCTTATTTAGGCTGCACCCAAACTTTATATGACCGGAATTGATGTAATACATGAAAAAACTGTATACGAAAATTGAGTGGGTACGCATGATCAATTCGGAATGCTACCTGAAAGTCCAAAGATCAGGAGTCACTTGTCTTTTTATAAACTCTGTGCTAACAATAGAAAGTCATTTAGTCACGTGCTGGAGATATGCAAAGCAGATTGTCTCAATTTTTGACAGCAAAAACACGGAGCTCCTTGTTTTCAAGAGAACTAAAGAACCGTCAAAAAACAAAAACGATCGACACTGTCAGTTACAAATATCACGAGAAACCAAGAAAAAAATACCTCTTTACATCAAACTTTGAGTATTTCACAAATAAGGTTGATTTGATTTATGCAGTGCATTACATTGTAAAATTCGACATTAACTGAGTAGCACCCTTTGTCGAGGTGTGCTATAACATAAGTCTACGTYATTTGTACATCAGTTGTCAGTTATACTGAAAGAAGACTGCGCATGCGCGTACTGACTACTACATGTTGCGAGCCAAGTCCCACATGCGTCACGATACACCTGAATTCAGCAACTAAATTCGGAGTTTGACTGTGCGGCTCTTCAGAATAAAACCTTTGAATCTGATAACAAACCAAATAACTCAAATACGCCTCAAGTAATAATTCATTCTGTGTAAGTTGATATCTTACGCAGGGAACTGAATCCTGGACCTAACTAAAACCTGTTATACCGCATCAGTAACGCATATGGCGCAAGTAGTCACTTTTTCTTCTGCTACAAGAAGATGGATGTCTGTAAAGTTCTTCAAGTGAGGTCAAATGTTTCTAGTTTGACGTCAGTTGTGGGCATTTGAATTGTTTTGAGATTAAGCGCTTTTCTCTTGTCAAATGACTACTTTTTACACAATTAAGTATTTGTTTTCTCTAGTATTACGAATGGCAAGTGTAGAGTATCTTTTGAATTCAGTAAATTGACCCTTTCTCGGTATCAAAGTGCAAATATTTGAACTTTTAGTTAAGTATAATCGATGATAATCCCAAAAGAYGAATTTTTTAAACACAATAGGCGTCGAATGGAGTAAGTAGGGGTGATTGACTGTTTTTACTGAAAGACGATTATAAGGCTTTGCTTTGATTCATGCTTCAAAATATACTGACCATCAGTTGATAYATTCATCATTTCACATTACTAACAAGTTATTAAACATTCTGAGGCCTTCACATTTCAAAGATACACAACCCTATACATCGTACTAGTTCGTGAGGGTCCAAAARTCCTTTTCATCAACCTTGGAATGCATCGTGTCCACACTGGCAGGTATTTAGAAGATTATCGGAATAAAATCCTTGCATGTGACTTTGCATGGGCTTGAGTGGGAACTAAAATCAATTTTTTTTTCTTTCTTTTTTTTCCAAATTGATTCCCATCAACATGATCTCCAAGGAGTTTATAAAAGACTCAAATCCTTCAAACCCCTCGCTCCCGTTAATGCCGTTAGTCCATCGTTAGTGTGGTCTTGACTCAAACACTAAACTGTATCAACCAGGTTAAATGAATCTTTAGCCACCAACAAGTTCCCACTTTTTAAAAAATATTTGGTTCTCGTAGGGTTAGGGGTTCAAACGGCAATTTTTCACTCCMTGTCAGACACGCTAATCCAAAACGTTCCCATAATGCATTCCAGGACGTCTGATTTGACGAGTSTTGGATTAGTGAGCCTCCAGTCTATTGTCAACATGTCAGCAGTAATTCATACTCTTAAGTAATTGATGATAGCGATGATTGACTTTGGGACAGTTRAGTGTGAGAGTGTTGTAGGTACCAGGCGGTTGGATGAAGAAGGAACTGCTTCCTATCGCACAAGAAGCCTGAAAATAGAGGACTGAATAGAGGTAACACTCCACTATCTGCTATTGATAATACTGTTAACTATGAGTTTTAAGATAATTGAATTTATAACTTGTTTAAATCCGTTTTTTTTTAATTGTTGTTGATTTATTCTATTCCATTCGCTCATAACAGGGATTGAAAATGCCTTCTGCATGCATAAATCATTTCAATTTGTTTAATGATAAGTGATGTCTTCAGTTCGTACACTTGTCTTTTTCTACCTCGTCTTGTTAGGTCACGATTTTTTACTATGCATTTTTATTCTAATCCATTGTGAACTCATGTAATCTTCGTCGAGCGTCGTTGCTGGTTTTTTTTCGGTTTTGCTCTTTCTTGCAGAGTCGGAAGCGTAATTTATCAATTAAAACAATAACTGCTTTGCCTTTAGTTTTAAATATCACAAGTTCATGCGGCAAAACTATTTTCAATTTTGTTTCACTTCTGACGCAAAGATTAAGCAACTTTTAAATACGTTATGATTAAATTTTTTAAATGGCATTTTATTCAAAAAYCCTATATACTCATTTATGTGAAATTTAGCTTACTCAAACGTCACTTCCTGTCTTGTGCAAACGATTCTTAATTTCTCTATCTTTATTTAGGCTGCAACGAGATYAAACGTTCTAGAATGATCGATCGGAGCAATCAAGTATACTATATATAAGTACCTATCGATCACCTCATCGGAAGGTATCCCAGTTCGATGATATTTCCTTAATCGAGTATACAGTCCTAGCTGGGCGTGGGGATAACCGACGTCGTCCTGATTCTCTGTTTGTCCCTACCAACGCTTGACAACTCAAAACTATGCAAACCAAAGCAAAGAAAATTACTAATTTTCTCAAGGAAGTGGTTATCTAGTATCTGTTTTGAAATCCTGTTTTTCATGCTAGGAATTACTGAAATATTTCTTCAAAGGGAGTGGTTTTCGTTGAAGTGTTACATAAGGCAGGTCAACGCGGGCACCGGGATATAAATGTAGTACATTGATAGTTTTCTATCTTTAGACGATTATAATAGTCGCGTTCCTTGCTTTCACGCATGCTTCACGCAATCTGCAGTCCTTATGTTTTATGWACAACACTAAATTACTTAAGATTMCTATCCACTCAATTCTCTTCAAATATGACTTAAATTATGTCGATAAAAAGKGACTTTTTTGACCCTCTTCTYAGGACAACTTGTACTGWCGGAGTCTAGACCAATTAAGCACAATTACAACAGCATGTCGTCACCAGTTGAAGCTTTTTGCAATTTACTAGCTAGCTGCGGGCATAATTACCGATACTGGCCTCTTATTATATATAGACCAGTCGATATTATTCATTGACAACACAAGCAAAACACGTGTCGCATACATTATGCAAGGATAGTGTTTTATGATCGTTACCGTTTGAAATCCCAGTTCAAATGTGTTSAAAATTGGTTAAAAACAAGAACAAACTTCATGATAAAACAGCTACTTCAGAAAACGTTGAAACCGAATATGGAATAGTGTATTCCAAGACTGCAATGCATTGTTGGTGGTTTTATCGGCGTTCAAAAGGAGTTTTAGTGGTTTCAGACTGACTTGTTTTAGCATAATCGTCCTTTTCACAACACTTATAGCGCGATTCAGTATAGAAATCAAATTCAGTATATTTTTCGACAATACCATACAAACTAGTGCTGATAAATTTTAAAATGGTTATAAACGCTTTGTTGTTCATTGTATAAGTCCAATATTTCCTTTTTGTATGACACAATGGGTGAAATGTTTCAAGAATTCGMTTTCYAAATCCCTTGGTTCTATAGTGTCTCCTRACCGCGTCTCGTAACAGGACTTGAAGTAAATCCGCGCCGTCCAACAGGTTTATCCTTCTGCAAACACAAGTGTTTCTTGTAAGGCTCTGGCATGTTAAGAACAATGGCTCGTTGAAGTTAGTAACTTTAAACGAAACTAAACTATCAAATACTAACTGTAATATTGTTTTCAGTTGAAGTCAGTAACTTTAAACGAAACAAAATTATCAAATACTAACTGCAACATTGTTTTAGCAAGAAATGCATTGCTTTTTAAWTGAGTGTTCGAAGGATATTTTAAACTTTAATAATTCCATCGTTTTGTGAGAGCTCTAACAGTAGTATATCCAGCACTATCAAGCCTGCTCGTTACGTATTTCACCCAAAGTATTTTTCTCCACGACGTACCTAAATAGTGCAGTGGTCCGTGAATTTTTATCCGTTTTCTGGCCTTGCTATTATTTTTATGAAGTCAATAAATTTTAAGAGAAAATTTTAATAAGCCGCTGCAATTTAAATTTCTGTGGCTCCCACGAAGACCTTACCTACCAACGGGTATTTAATTAACCGGTCGGCTATCATCGACTCTATAACTACGAACAGTCGATAATTGCTCGGTGTCTTTTCGGAATGTCACGACTAACATAGAATCCTCTTTAACTGATATCCGCAAATTTAATTTCAGTTTCGATATGAAGTTCGGAAACATTTCGGACATGTGTCGGRAAATCTTCGGGATGTTTCCGTCCATGTGGGATGCGTGGGACACTAAGAGTCACTGACATTTCCTAGAGATCCATATGTGATCCTTTAAGGCAGTCTAAATCTTTGATATAAGGATTTTTTAATAAAGAGAATCTGATAGACCTTTGCATTAGTATAACGTGGTTAAGGATCTAAAATTTGATTCGCTCTAGATTTCTGGCAATGAAGAATTCAGGTTCTCTCTGAAAAGTTTTTCAGTTTGAACAATGAAGGGTTTGATGATCAAATTCTATAATATATGAAGTAAGTGTGTGACTTTCATATATCGACACTATAGACTAGTGAGACTTTACTAGCTCATTCAGTACAGCGTTTAAGCCCAGTATAACTTGCTACAGACGTGGAATGCTACAGAAACAATGACCGAACCAAAGGTTGAAACCGGCTGTCATGAATTCCTAGCAACAGTTTCAATCCATGATCAACCCACATTTCACCGAGGGAACCTATCGCTCGTTGTGTGGGTGGGTCAGTAGTCTTGTATCAGGCTAGCGTCGGAAGGTCCAACATTTATCTCAATATCGACTGTCAGATTTTATTGATAGTGTCAGACATTCGTGGGGATAATTTTGTGATCAGCTCATAAGACAGCGCTATTTGCACATAGAATTTATGCGATGCTAAGGTCTAGAGTATGGTCTTTGTTTTAGTTGCCTTTTGGAAGTATATATGATCGAGGTTAAAATCACGAAAAAACCGTGAAAAAACTAAGAACACAGGACTAGTTTTATAAAACCGTGAAATAAACATTAGTTCTCTACACTTTATAACTCTTTCTGTTGAACGCGGTTTTTCTTTGTCTTTTCTTTGCTTTACACGTAATTACAATTTGACCATTACACTCTGTTTCATGGGTTTAGGAAATTCTAGTCACAACTCATGTAAACAAAACAATTTTATTATGAAAGTGAAGTGTCATCGAAATGGATTGCCGTTGCAAACCATAAGTTCACGTGCAAGATTTCTGTTTAGAATACTTTATTTTGTGTTTTCGTTAGGTTTTCTTGATATGCATTTTCGGTAGTGACTTGTGCTCATTTGAAAGGTTTAAACGGTTCCGCAATACGTACTGTACGTCRGTATTTAAAACAAGAAAATAATTTCCCTTGACTCCATCCAGTCTCGTAACCCTAGAAATCATTACACTGCCCAAAAACATTGCTCTTTTTAGATCGTTAAAAAACTGTTKAAACCGTCTTTATCAAGTGGTTTATAAAAAAAGAGGAGTGCTGTTGGAAGACTTTATTCAGTTGYAGAAATTCCGACAAGGATAAGARAGGATACAACTAGTATTAGAGCCGGATTACAAAGAGCCGGATTTATTCGCTATAGCTGTCCACGATTTGAAATCTGTGTTTGACATCAAAAATGAACAATGTGTAGCGCAGATTATTAAAGTATGGCTTGAATTTAAGTGAAATCAATACTGCAGTGTGGGCGACAGCAAAATACATTTGGGAAAACGATCAGTTGCTATATGCACAAACAGCATTAGTACAACATACAACATCAAGGTAGTGTAGGTTGTTTTCGGCGTCGTTCTTTGTTACTCACATACGCCAACACGTCATTTATCATCGATTTTGACCACCAAACGCATATTTTCACAGCCCGCCATGGCAAATGTGTCATTCTTGATAACTATCAGTGGGCATATTAACTTACATATGAACAACTTGATCTGCGATGACATATCGTGGAMCATAATGACACCRTTCTGAGTACTTAGCCCTTGGCCAAACACGTTAAGACACCGACTCAAACTAGAATTTGTTCAATATTGCGCTTCTTGTCACTAAAGTACTGTGTGTTTATGGATTAACACGGATATAGCTAAGGATACACGAGTCTGTAGCAATTTAGCCGAGGTTGTGTATAAAAGACGCGAACTTTACGACTMTYAGCATCGATTTCATTGCGAAAAAMCTCTAATCTTGGGTCAAGACGAGTCCCGCAGAGAAAAGAGTGAAGTGTTTAAAGGTASGACRGTGGTTTTATATACAGTAACCAACCAAGTATCSTGGGTAAATACGCGTTTATTRCGCTCTGCGAGCGACGCGTTTTGAAACGCAATCGTTTGACCTGCGACRGGCAACATTTTATCGTTTCGATGATACTTTAAAACATCCTTTTGATGTCAAATGAACGCGATTGAGGGTTGTCTTGCTTAGATATTGTCTAGCTGTAACACACAACTAATGCGTGAATCTGATATACCTGTTCGAGCCCTAACGAGTCGATTTTTTACTAAATAGGTTCTAATTGCTCGACCTATGCAAACTGCACTTCAACCAAGCACTTCATAAAACACAGATACACAGTTATAACAAAAGTACTCCACTTAGAGCTTCACTTAGATGTCCAAAAACTTTATGAATAGGTTCAAAAAAGCTCAATATCAAAAATTGCATTAGCACTATCCTCGACACTCCTTTTAAAAGAGTAATATTGTTCATATTGTACCCTAGCAATTAGCGTCAAAGTTAACCATGCTTTTGATGGACATTGCTTCGTGATCATGCGTATGTTGGGTTGTCTTTGGCGATRTACAAGTGGTTGCATTCAAGGGGGTCGCTAACAGCGCCTTGGGCGACGGGTTTTCACAGTTTTCGAATAKCTCATTTCTTAAAGATATTGARCCTCTGTTCACAAGCTATTATTATCCTTAAGTGATTTCCTTTTTAGCTCTTTGAAAAGACATGAGATATAATATTATTGCAGTATCGCTGAAATTTATTGGGCTTTTTGTGCAAAAAAGAAGAGAAAAACTTTCCAAAAGATCTCTAAAGATTGTTAACCTTTGTAATTCTTGATTTTTCATGTAGTAGTTTTATTGTTAAGATATTTTAGTTTAAAATAGATTAAGATGAAATATTGAAAKCCTTATTGTGAGTTACCAGCTTATCAAATCGATACTTCATAACGATCCCATAACCAACACGCCGTGCATGTTTACAATAGAAGTCAACTAACCGTRTCCTATTTGGATACAACATGGAATCACAGCTAGTCGGAGATCAAAGGCCAATAGCTAATCTGTCATCTGGAATCGAGTAATTTGCGTATAGCTAAGGATATTTGATGGGATTGATTATTGACATGTATGCATGCTGTTGACTTCCGTCTCGTGGGTCGTTATTAATGAGGCTGTGTATTACAATAAGCACTAGTGTGCCTGTATGAGCCGTGCGCATAATTACTGCTGGATTTAAAAGTGCTTTTGTTTCGTTTAAGATAGGTTGGATGTCAACCGCCTGATGGCAATTGATTGATTGTTCTTCTTTACTACGATGGTGATCTGATAGTTTCTCCTGACAACGCTCAAAGATAGTCTCTCTCTCAAAGCCTTCAACTACATGATTTAAAAACTTCAAACAAGTGTTGAGGAAATTGCGTTCTGACGTTCTCCCAGCTGGTATGGATTTCCAAATGACGCGAAAAGCTTTTCAAATGTTGGTGTATTTAAGTTTAATATTGCGAGTGAATAGCTCAAGAACTGGACTSTGTTACAACGTTTACGGAAGACCWCAGACTTGTAGACCGGATTTCCACGACCTTGCGTACGAGAAGAATATATACGTTTCCCATACTTGTGGATTTCCACCCAGGCGGTTCTGTACGCCACATTTACGCGGACAAAAGTGCGATATCTGCGATGGACGTGACGCAACGCGAGTGCATCCTGCRTCGTTTTTGTCTGATCTTCACGATGAAAATAATGTAACTTGTTGGGTTTCTGACCCGGTGCAAAGTAGAGAAAACATTACGTTTGTTCTTTCATTGGGAAAAACGTATGACATCACTTACGTAAGTCTACAGTTCTGTAGYATCCGACCTGAGTCCATGGCTATTTACAAATCAATGGATTTTGGCAAGACGTGGCAACCGTATCAGTTTTACTCTGGCGATTGTGAAAACGTTTACGAGCGTCCGCTTAACGGTTACGTTAGCGTGCACAACGAACAGGAGCCTCTATGTACTGATGGCCATCTTATTCGACCCCAYCACGGAGGAAGGATAGCGTTTAGTACMCTCGCTGGYAGACCATCAGCCTCTAGACTAGAAATGAGCCCCGTGCTGCAAGAATGGGTCATAGCTACTGATATCAAAGTGGAGTTYAATCGAATCAGTGCGACAAGYAAAAGACCCAAGGATCACCTGTATTATGGGGTGTCTAATTTTATGGTCGGTGGAAGRTGCCATTGCAATGGCCATGCTAGTAGATGCAATCGGGGACCTGACGGAGCGATTGCTTGTGAATGCAGACACAATACTGCTGGAACTGATTGCCAAGTGTGTAAACCTTTCTTTAATGATCGGCCTTGGAGAGCTGCGACMACAGAATCACCAAACCATTGCAGAGGTACGTTTTTTATCGTATTTTTGTATTTTATTGTATTTGTGGGATCTATATGATCAACTGCTATAAATCGATTTGAGTTATCARAAGTAGCCAAAATGGCCAGGTCCTGAAAAACTCTTTCCACTTTCATTCTGTGATGATTGATCATTTTTGATATTGAAAGCATTTCTTTTGCTATAGTATTTAGGTGTAATTTTGTTTTGTTTTTTCTTTTTTTTTTTTTACTTTGGTAGACTTTGTACATATTTTACCACAAACATCAACGAAATTATCACAAAAATGTTATGGTCGTTATATAAAGCTAGTGTATTCAACCATGTGTCGGTAAAGCTCCCAGGCAAACTGGACAAGTTTTTATAATCATAAATCAMCCTTTATTAGATTACCTTGACATTGCTGGACACTTTACTTCAACGTTATAGAAAGTCAACTAAGSTAAAAAGGGTCAAAAAGGCAACTCCCTTRCTCATTAACAGTTTTTACTAGATTAGGGTGAACTGGGTCGGGCTAGTAGCCTCGGTACACCACATAACAGCAATAATATTATATTTTTGGTCGCTCAAAGTGGAGTTTGATTTTCTTTTTATAGTTTGTTTAGAGCGTCGTATCGTCTTTGATCGGACATTGATCGATCACCATGTTGTCTATTGTTACCACAAATGCGTACGATGTAGTCCTTTGTTATACCATCTTATGTCTATACAATATTTCCCCCTCCTTGCAGACAAGCAGGCGCTGCAGGACTTTGTTCTAATTGAGCGTTTAAAAGCCTTTTCTTCTCCGTTAATTCTCTTTTTTAATTGGTAAAAATGCTTAATAATTACGGTTCAAGACTGCTTCCCGCTGTCAAGGTTAATTCGTGTTTTGTATGTGATTCCCGTAATAGTCTTATGTCGATATATAAAGCAGGTCTCGTCGAAACAAGGATCTTGAGTGRGCATGAGTTCACTGCTGGTCCCAACATGACTCGTGTATAACAAAAGGCTACTTTAGAGGTGTCAGACTTTTTATTATTACTAATTCCTTCTTAACATCTGTACTACAGTTTCTGAGTCGCCGAAAACCGACAAAATTCACTTAAGTTTGACACCAAACCTTACGCTATCGTACAATACTGACTGCGGGTTTTTCGTTGGTCACAAGCCGTGACCTGAGGGAACATGAACCATCCTTATTACTTTAATTTCTTCCTTTAAGTTTTAACCCGAACGGATAACAAGGCATTTCACAGGTAGACGGGCTGGAGACAGCGAGACTGAGCACTCACATTATTGAGAGTTAGCAAACACTAGGTGCTATAAAAGATAATGATCTTGAGAGCCGAATAAACAAAGCTATAAAAGTTCTAGAGCGAAATTCAAAATTTTTGTATAAGTATATTGGCTCGTTGTGAAGTCTTCATTCAAGGACTTAAAAAAACTGCTATCAGGTTTTTTAGAGAACTTTTCATAGGACTGCCTATTTTAAAAATTCTAATGAATTTATTTTGACCTTCCATGAAACACTGAAACTTATAATAACGGCTATTTTTATAATTTATTCTGTCGCCATCTTGGATTAAAATCCAACATGGCGGCCGAAACTTTGATCTTAAAAAATTAGAAAAAATATACGTTAGAATATGTAGTACTAGATTAAATCATTTAATTTAACTCAAACTAATTCTTGTCAGTCCCGATCTCTATTTTGTTTTTTATTTTTTCTATTGCCTTCCGATTCAGTTTAAACTTACGCATTGTGATGCTGTGTGACTTTTAGTTCCAACACTTATTTCACGGGGAACTAATACAAAAGAAAACGTCTACGAATCGCGTTAGAGTATTTTTTTCAGCACTTACAAGTTACCTGTCGAGCAATAAAGTCGTTTCTATGGAGATCTGTCGTTACCTCTCTCAGAGTCAAAGAAACGCGATATTTTGAAAAAAGCCYGCAGGAAAAATGACTTCATAACTTAACAAAGCAAAATCAATTGCTACCTACACTTCTTACTGACAATTAACAGTTCCCCAGGAAGCCTCTAAGTATCTACCGCATCTATTAACGATCCTGGGAACGGGATTTCAGAATTGAAAGCTACAATGTAGTTGTACATGACGGCATTTTCCCTCACGCGGAAGGATGCTTTTGACCAAAATATCATCATCGAATTATCAACATAAACCGCGACAAATATGCTCGGCTCTACCACAAATGTTTAATTCTACTGTTGGGACATYCTCGGAACCCAGACCTCTCTAATTTCGTGGTCTTCTGGGAGGGTTAGATCGCGTTTATGATTGATTATCGTACGGATTAAATCCCGCTGTGGTGAGATAATTCACTAATACCTTTCCCGCTGTGACAAGGAAACTGCTGTCATGTGTGGATAAATAATGATCTGACAATTTGTGGCAGATAYCCACGTATTACAACGTTACGTATCTGCAATGAAACGTTACGCATCACAAGTTTAAGGAAACGTTCGTAAGACATTACCGACTTAATAAATGTAGATGCAGATGTAGGTTACGTATGAAACATTACTAATCTCGAATGAAGTGTTGCGTATCTGGAATGAAACGCTACGTATCTCAAATGATACGCTACGTATCTCGGATGAAAGGCTAACGTATCTCGAATGAAGCTTTACGTATCTCGAATGAAACGTTATGTATCTCAATTGTGCATAATTTTATTTGGAAACCSACATGAGAAGATTATTAGAGGTTTGTTTACTAAAAACAAATTAATGTATTTGAAGTATGAGACACGTAGCCATGTGGGATGGGCTCGGAGTTTATCTGTGAGCATGCTCAATCGTTCAAAAAACACTGCCAGCTCTTTTTTGACTACTTTGACTGTCGTGTGGTTATGGAGAGATKAGAGTCAGGTATTGTAATTTAAGCTTCTTGATTGTATTCGGTAGTGCGGTCTTCAAAMATTTATTCACGGATTTCTACAATAGCGAATATGAGAGGAAGCAACTTCATTTACCTTTTCATTGTTTTATAAAAAATAATCTCAATATCATATGATAAATTAGGAAAATATCCYTCCAGGAATTACCCTGGTTCCAGACGTTTTTCTATATCTCTCTTCTCGAAACACCAGAGATGAGAGAGAAGCCTCTGGAAACATGCTATCTACGACGACCTCACCCATGATTAAACTATCAACATTCTTAGCTCTTTTAAAGCTTAACATGTTTATGTAATGCAAAGTAAGTATTGAGATGACGTGCTTTGAACATTTAGTTATCATTCTTGTCGTGTACGTAAATAGACTCAGAGGTTATTCGTGTGTGCCAAGCATAGTCTGCATTTTTCACTGAAATGTGACGACGTAAATGAATTCAACGTAAAATCTGTGTTGGATGTCCTTTAATCCAATGACATGGTCTTCTTAAAGTGCTTTTCGMTAATTGACAAACAATGCAGGGTTCTAGCGAACGCATAAACAGATACACTAATAGTTCGAACTTTGAGTTTCATAATTTCTTTAACGCTGTTTTAGTATAGCAGAAATATTGATAAAACTCGTGAGGTTTCAAACGCTATTTTCATTGTCTTCTATCTCATCTCTYGCATTTACACGGCCGTCAGTTACTGAATAAAAGAATATGTTACATGTTTTTTGGGACAACACTTTGTAGAATAGATCGCTAAAAGGGTTTATTGACAAAAAAATTCAATTGCGATTACCTCATCAATGGCGAGGTTCAAGGACTATTCACTCAACACTGGCTATAAATAATGGCCTASAGATTAAATGCATCAACTTCATTATAGAAGTTATATTAGATTTAATAAAAAAAACATCTTCATTATTATTAATTTCTTCTAATATAATTATTTGCCCATTTCTTTCCAGCATGCAACTGCAACCTTCACTCTAAGTCGTGCGAGTTCAACATGGAGYTGTTCAAGTTGTCRGGYGGTCGRAGTGGTGGAGTTTGTATTAATTGTCGTCATAATACGGCCGGTCGGTATTGTCATTACTGCAAAGAAGGCTACTTTAAAGATCCWAATCTSCCGACCACRCATAGAAAGACGTGTAAACGTAAGTATTAACGTGGATCGTACGTRAYYTMTGTACTGCATACTTKAYTGCTCTTGTCGTAACGTAAACGTTGCGTCTGTTTTCACAAATCTTTTCCTACCGCGCGCGTGTCTAAACGTAGTCTGACGTYACCTTTTCCCGTTAACATSAACGCTACGCTTTACCTCACTGATGCGTGCATCTAACGTAATCGACGCAAAGASCTAACGCAAATGATCTCTACGTGTRTCTAAACRTATCWCTCYTTGYCTCTAMATACYATAATCAAGAAACGTAAGSCCTGCRTAATRTAACGTCCCGSKSKCKYWTRYGC